TCCTCTTCTAAAGCAAGCAAATAAAATAGCCACATCATGTTATCAATACATCTATTTATAATTACACAGTGATTCCACAAGAAAATTTAGGAGAGAGCTAGTGTTAAATATTCAGCGTCATGGTGTCGCAACACTTCTTTACTTCAGTATACAAAGCCTAGAACTTCAGCCATAAAAAAACTGTAGATCCTTCATTCCAGCATGGAGTGCTCTACGCATGGTCACTTCTCTAACGTGGAATGCTCACCCAGTCTTGTTCTCGTCACTACAAGTAAGCAAAGACAAAATACAGTACTGAAAATTTTGAACACTAATAGGAAAACAGGAACTTGTTAAACCCCTTAAATAGTATCAGCACTGTTATTATCACGTTTGAACTGTCAGCTCATAACAGCCATGTTTTAAATGGTGCACCTACACTTGTTCTCTAACAATAAACAATTAAAAATGTGAATCATTACAGGGCTACCTGTTACAGAAGGATCAAATTAATAAGGCTTTTGGCGTTTGACATAATAAATAGAACCTAAAAAGTAGAGATAGCCTATGTCATGCATAGAAGTGATGATAACTCATTTTCAGATCATGCTTTAATAGTCAAGCTAACAAATACTACTTTGTAGCTGGAATTCGGTAGTTTGATGCTACAGTTATACATTAGGAAGTATACAGCAAGAGTCTACACTAACAAAAATTAAGCAAAGCCTTACTTAGCACAAAGGCTTATGTCTGACAGATTCAGACATCCCCCAAAGTGATCGAGAAATTATTTTCGAATTTTACACCATCATTTAAACATTAAAATAATTTTAGATTAGCCCAATGACCTATACTGTTAAAATACATCCATTAACTTCAGAAAGCATCTGTAAATCCTTTTCTTTCTTAGGCTCATCAGAAAGACTACAGTTTAAGTCACAGTTTTTTAAATACTCCAGTAACTGTCACTGGTTTGTCAGAAAAGTTCCATTAATAAAAATCCTAGATTTAAACTATTCTATCAATATAAAAGCATACTTTGACCTTCATAATATTCTATCAGATATGCAATTATAACTAGAATTTAAAATATCAAAATCTCATGAGGCTCTAGAGAAACTTGAGTATGTATTCTTTTCAGAACAAGTGTAAAATGCCTGTGATAGCTGAGAAAAAAATAATCATCCTTTTATACCTCTACATAAATTAAACATGCATTACTAGACAAACTAGTAAAAGTCTACAAAAACTAATGCTTGAGAACTTGTGCAGCTCTTATTGTTCATGCTAATAATACACACAAATTACACGAATGTTTAAAAAGGTATATTGTATACATATATTAAAACTAAGCACTGAATTCATGCTAATTATAAGACATTTCTAGATTGCACACTTCTGTTTGGCCTTAAATATTTACAACAGTGAATCAAGAATAAAAAAAAATTAATGTATACCTGCTAATACTAGAATAAAATAGGCTTTCCTAATGTTTTCTCTTGCACGTATGATGTAAAACGCTTTAAGAATTTTGGATATTCTCGTTTTGCCACTGCCCGTAACACTGATGCTGGTGCCCATCCTCCTGGGTTCACTAGAAGTAGACAGGAAGACAGACATTGAAATACAGCAAATCTGCTAAAAGCTAGAAAAGAAAATTTAAGTTTGTATTCCTGCAACTCTTTCTGAAGTAACAGGAAAGAATAATCAGCAGAATTTCCACCCTTACAGCTTGTATTGCAGCATGTTCGACTCTTAATACTCTAATTCAGTCCAGTTCTATGATGTCACTATTTAGAAAACATTAAACATGATGTGTTGTCTTTGGGGAATGCTTAAATGAAAGATGATATTCTTTAAGTACTTCCAAGAAACAACAGAAAAAGAATCGTAGAATCATAGAATGGTTTAGGTTGGAAAGGACCTTGAAGATCATTGAGTTCCAACCCCCCTGCCATAGGCAGGGACACCTCCCACTGGACCAGGTTGCTCAAAGCCCCATCCAGCCTGGCCTTGAACACCTCCAGGGATGGGGCCTCAACAACTTCTCTGGGCAACCTGTTCCAGTGCCTCAAGTTACTTATTATTTCAAAGAAAATAGAAGTCAGTCTTAACTTTTCAGTATCATCTGCTGCATTTTCCTGCACAATTGCTACATAGCAATTACAAATTATTTTTAAAGCACTTTAAACAAAATTTGAACTGATTCTAAAATATGCTTAAATTCACAGGTCAAGTACTTTGCTGAAAAAGCTGCCACTTCCCATATAATCACAGTTCAAAATTTGTCAATGAAAATGTATTTTTTAAATAATTGGGAAACTTCTAAACAGGAAACAAAACAGCTTACCCCAGAGTTTAACATCATATAGTATTATTTGTACAGGATTTAATACAAGTTGCTTCACTCCTATACGGCAAAGATTTACTAAACCCATTTTTCAGATTTTGATTCTTTAGTAAGCTGTGTAATAGGTGGTCAAAAGCAGTAAGCAGGTGAGATACTCAGTGTTTTATAGTTGCATGAGAGGAGCTAATAGGTACGTGGTTCCAATACTATAGTACACTGCTAAATACTGGGTACAGTAAAAATACAGTTTGGCTTTGCTAACTTTGCAGTCAATACCAAAGATTCTATCAATTAAAAAAAATAAAAAATAGGTAGACCAGATTATACAGCTTGCAAACATCCTCATACAAAATTTTTTTGTCCTTTCTTAATACTCAGGGTAAGAACTATGTCTTTACTATCAGCAGCTTTTCAGCCTAACAAGATGAATTGGAGAAAAAAAATTGACAGCAATACACAAATAAAAAAACCCAACAGACTTACTGAAACTAAAAGCTTATGCCAAGTCATCCCAGTTGCAGACATTTCTTCTGCCCACCCCCCTCCATGCCAAGGTTCTCTACTTAGGACCAAGCAACACATTCAACACATCGCTTTCATTTACTCCTCCCAGAATGCCACACAATGAAAGATCCCATTCACTGATTGATGTAGCACATTAATTCGAGTCTTTTTGACCATGAAGACCACAAGTGTGATTCTATATATAAATTTAACAGAAGACTGCATCAATCTTTTTTTTTGGTCAGTATTCAGCTCCCCAGAATTATCATATATTATGAATGTCATACTGCAAACTTTTAGACTTACCATTAGCTACATATGTAATCTTGCATAGGATATTGTCCCTGCTTATTTCCTTGTTCCCCTCTGGTGGGCTTACTAAGGTCTGACAAATCATAGCAATATTTATTTTGGCACGGACACAGCGATTGTTCAGCTGCAAAAAAAACCCCAATTAAACATTTGTAAGCTTCAAGCTAAGTTTATTTCAGCATACTTGACTGCTAACATTTTAATTTAGTATAAAGTCTAAGACACTCCAAAAGTTGTGTTTCGGGGAGTTTGCAGTCTAGCACTACATGGATGTAACATGAATGTGAATGAAATGAAAGTTAGGTGGTGAATAGGGAAAGGATTAAACTGAAATGCCTGAATCTCAGGTTTCTGTTTGCTTAATACAGTGAATTATTTCAATTATTGTGACAAGTAAGGAAACATCTAAAGAATAATGCATCAACATTTACAAATATCAGTTAGTAACTTTTCCCTTGTAAGAAGGCAATGGAATAGCGATCAGCACAAAAACACTCCAAAGAAAGCAATCATTGCTACTATCTGACAAAACCAAGGCAGAACTGTGTAAGCTAGAGGTTTAACAGATTCCATATCTACAGTTATACAAGCCTATTTCCGTGTCTGACAATACTGAAGAGTTATTGATTTGATTCCATACAAAGTAACCTCAATTCTTTAAAATGCTTTCACATCTCCAGAAATTTTGCTTCCATTCTGCTGCAACACCTTAGATCTGTCAACTGTTGAGATAAGGCAAGAAAGCTTTTGGCTCAGAATGCCTTCATCAGGTTATTGTATCATCTGGTTGAAAGAAACTGTATTTTTGCATACTCCCCCTTACACTAGTATTGCAAGACCATCATCACATAATAGAAAAATGATATCTTAAAAACAGAACTTGATAGAATGAAAATAACACTTACAGGAGCACTGTCATGTTCCACAGAGAAATTGCACACAATCCATGTTTCAGGATCATTTTCACTGAATGCTGGTATCTTTCTGATGGCAGATAAATACAGCACATCCCTTTGAGAAGCCGGCCACACCCTCTGCAGAGAAACATCTGAATATAAGCTTTTCCAGTTTTGCAATTTAAGTACTTACTATCCTTAGATAAAGGAAAAATAAAAACAACAAACAAGGCAAAACAGGTCAGTCATGTTATTTAAGTAAAAAAGTTTCTTCAAGTTAGTGATTCCGTGCAATTTTCAAAACTGAAACAGAACATAGGTGTTGTACAGATGTGTATCAGGTTATATGGCTATACTTCATTTAAAAAAAATTAAGATAAAAGTTTAAGGCCTTTGAAAAGCAGAGAGCCAAGCTGCAATGACTTTTACAGTAGACAACCAGGAAGAGGTTCTCTCAACTTCGGGTTTACATTTTAGTTAATACTTGTAATCTACAAACCGAACTAGTGGCTAAGTATAAATAGCTGCATCTACAGTTATTTATGTCTCCATATTTATGGAGACAGAGAGAGAGAAAGAGAGCAAGAAATAGTTATAACAAATATTATTTCAAGAAGCTACTACTTTAATGAGACAGATATGGTAAACTGGTTTTATCTAAGAGAAAATTTCAGAAGCAGTATCTGATAAAATAAAGTAAAACTATACAGAAGCCATTTTCCTGACACTCAATAGGGGGAAAAAAGTCTAGTTTTTACCACAGTATTATACAGTTCATACAACTGCCTTATTCAAAAATCAGAGTCTGTTGTTACAGCAGTTTTAAGGTAACCACATTGCTAGTAAAATTGTTAAAAAAATATTATTGTTTTAATATTTGAGTATACTAATAATTGGAATCATACAAGATTAAAGATGAATTTGTACACTTCATTCCCATTTTTTTTTTTAACCTATTAGGTTACAGTTATTTGGTTATAAATCAAATGAACATTTTTGTAAAGCTACATCAGAACTGGTTGGGGTGAAAAACCATAATGAAGTTAAAAGAACAAATGCTGTACCAGCAATTATACCACCTCATAATGCAAATGCATACGTCAACTAATCATGGTCAACAATAGCTTGCATTATTGCAAGAAAACATATGACATAGTGGTATGCGTTTCTTCCTTGTAGTCAGTGTCAATTTATTGCTTCAGTTTGCTTTAGATGACCCTTGCCTTGCTGGCAGTGATACACTTAAGAGATTAAAAACAGTCCTCATTTGTTATTACAAGCTCTATAAGACACATACACAACCAATTATGCTATCAAGCCAAGTTTGAAAAATTGACAAAGTTGCAGTTTAATAGAGAACTTGTTCTGAACTGTTGTTTTGAATAGTATTTTAAGTTGTTAAAGTATTTCAGAAAAGATTACAACACATATGCCCCAGACTGTCTCACTAAGGTGTGTATACAGGTGAAGTGTTATTACCTTATGCATCTGGTAAATGATGATTGCATTATCAGCTAAATTTTCCACAACATGGAAATTTTCAATTGTTGCTAAAAGAGGGGGAGGGGGAAATATATCCATCAGTAAACCAGCACAGATATTAGGTCAATGTTATAAACAATATGCTTGCTGATAAACATGTAAAGCTTAAGAACCAATTCCTTACTTTCCCAGTCATTACGAACATCGACATTCCAGAAGTAGTGGCAAACTTCATGCCCTGTTACCCCTTTAACGGCATGTGTTGCTTTCAAAGGATCTAAAACTACTCCATTCTCTTCTACCTCTCTTCTGTATACCTATGGCCAAATACAAAGAAACAAATGCAGAACAGAAATTGTCAAAACTGTTCATGTTTTAATTATTTAAGGTTTCATCAGCTTTGATAAAAAACTTACCTAAGAGACTAACACATGAATAATTTGCCATGTCAGTGTTCTCTGGTAACTACCAATGCAGACGTTCTTACATGGCACTTCACATTAAAATACCAGTATTTTGAGAATTGCTACTCCAAAAATGATTAAGCTACCTCATTTATCACTATGCACAAGAATGCATATAAGCACAGTGGAGTAGCTGACAATAACTTGCTACCATATAACATTTTCATACATTTAATTTACACACCATTTTGATACCAAGTTTTAAGTAGGAGAAAATGAGAAAGGAATCTGCAAAGACAAAGCTATTGCAAAAGTTGCATAAGATTTTACATTAATAAATATATTAGAAGCTGCAGCTCTTGTAGATTCCAGTCTCAAATTAAACAATACTTTCTCAGTTTTAACAGCATAACTTGCTGAGTGATAGTATTCAAAGAGAATAAAAATATCTGTCTTCACAGCATATAGTCTTATATCAATTAAGAAAAAAACCAAATGCTTACCTTCATTTCTCCTTCTTCTACCACTAGCTGCCAATTAGCATCTCCTCCTACATCTTGCAGGGAATATGTAATATGGTTTTGTACCATCTCTTCCACCTTTAAAAGAAAAAATACACATTTTTAAATCATTCCTTCCATCTTCTTGGGCAGGGGACTGTACAGTATTGGAAGCCACAAGTCAATACTTCAAATCCTGTGCAGGAGCTGAACTTGGACAACAGAGCCTCCTATCACAGGTTAAGAACAAGCAGATACTTCTGGCCTTCAGAAACAAAAGCCAAAATCTTGATTCAACTTCCAACTTCATTTTTTATGTGTACTTCCCTATCCTTCCTTTGCACCTCGAAACTGTCAAAACTCACTATTTCTACCTAAGACAGTTTTATTTCAGCATGTAGGAAATTACTTCAGGTATCTCCAAGTAGAATTACAATGCATTGTAAGACTTGAAAGCCAATATTCACTGAAGAGCATTAAAAAAGTTGAACAAAGGTGGTGGTGGGGAAGAGACAGACAAGTTCTAAAAAAAGTGAATACGTATCAAAAGTCATCTTGAAACAGCAGTGAAGGAAACAGTCATGAGCAAAGCATGCCCATTCTGTTTCATTGGCATATTTGCACAGTTACCAGCTAGAAAAACAGAAATGCTTACATTCCAAAAAATTATGATGATGCAGAAACTCCACTATTATAAAATACTAATTTAAAAATTACTTAGCTAGACAGTTGTGTGCTTTTCTTAAAGGCCAAATATTTGATACATTTTTATCAATCTATGTGAATATCTCAGATTTTTTTGTTGTTCCAAATAATGTGCATGAAAATGGGCGGAGTGACAGGAAATGGATTTTTATTTTAAATCTACAGTCTTATTCTATGTTTCTTTTGTGTCCGACCCCCCCATTTTCAAATCCCACTCTCTCCCAAATAAAAATAGAGACAAAAATATAAAGTATCTATTGCTGTGCAATGTTTACAAGTGCTGGAAACAATTTAATAACTTTTTCCACCTAAAACGTAGGCGACTACTAAAACTCATCACAGCAAATAAGTCCATGTAATTCACACTATTTTGCTGAATTACTAGAAATACCTTTTTTAAAAAGGAAAAGCACTGCAAGCAAAGGTTAGTCAATTGACCAACATACAGATTAGTCTAAGCAGCGTACAATCACAAGATTAATAGTCTGAACCAATAAGTGGGTTTTGCACAACTTACAAAAATATATGCACACTAGGCTTCATAACCTATAAAACATAACTGAGCAAGTAGTACAAGTATAAAGAAAAATGAAAGAATACTTAATGACCTTTTTCTGACATGATATAGAACTGAAAGATGTTATTTACTTTTAATTTAAAGCAGTAATTTTGTTTGTACAACGTACTGTTTGGGCAATACACTTAAGACCAGGAATAAAAAAGTAATTGAATCATGTCAAAATCCTCAAAGTATAGCATAAAAATAAAATCCTTTCAATAGAAATTCTACTTTATCTTATTGTAACCATACAGAAACACAAGTTATCAGTCCAGTTTGGGGGGTTTTCTTTGGTTTTTTTTTTTTTTTTTAGTTCTAATGAACTATAAACAGCCGCAAGATTTGTGTTTCTGCTTTTAGACAGGCCATCTTTTCCTGATACTTATTAACAAGCTTCCTACAAAATATTATTCTAATTATTTTTTTCCAGTGACAGTACAATCCTAGCCGGGTAAGAATGTGGACTATTTAAACATTCAATTTACTAGCTCTAGGTTACACTTCTTTCAGAAAGGAATCCTCACCATGCTCCCAACCTTTACCTGCAACACCTTCAGGTCCCTATCTCTCTTCTCCCCTAGCTCCTAATCTATTAAGGACAAAGCTGGCTTTAATATGTTTGTTTTGTATTTTGCTACTTTTTGCTTTATGCTAAATGCAGAGGGAGAAGGGGAATAGTAAAGAAAGAAGAGAATGAGGCATCCACAGGAGTGCAATCTAAACAGTTTAAGGCCTTTGGAATTGTTCAGCATTTAGCCCCCGACTTCCTCTGAAAACTTGAAAGGCATTTTTAGTTTGGTTCTCTCCCGATAAAGTTTCATCCCTGCTAACACAACATCTTTCTGACAGCTTCCCCTTAGGGGTTTGGGGAAGGAGAGGTATCATCACTGCAGCTTGCAGAAGAGAGTGAATGCTGGTTTTCGCTAACAAGCAATTAGTTCTACTTGATCAAGTAATTGCAGTGCCTGCAACTGCCTTGTGCATACTACCTGTCCAAACTGCAATCTACCTGCTGTGGTCACTGCCTGTCAACCTGCATCTATTTCAGGTACCACAGCAGGCACAGAGTCAAGAATCACAGCTTCTTTCCCACTGGGGAGGCCGCACTATTACCTCTGGGTTCCTGGCAGACCACAGGAATGGTCTGCAAAAATACTTGCAACCCACGCAACCTTGGCCTGAACATTAAGTGGGCAGTTCTTCATTTAAAAGGCCCTCAGAACAGCTCAATCTATTTTAAAATCTGATAGTCCTTTAGAAGTCCTTTAAAAGAGGAGAAAGTGATCTGCAAAACATCTGCAGCATTTTAACCTCCCACTCAACTGGCAGAGACAAATCAATGCCTTTCTCAAGGCACACTGAAGAACCAGCTCCCATCAGAATACACTTCTCAATCTTAAAAACAAAGATGAAAGTTTGTACTTGAACTTTTACTAATACCAAAACTCCCTTGGTATGAATGAAGCCTAGAAACAAGTCCCATTTATTCAGAATCATGATATTAGCTCGCCTTTCCAAAAGCCAAATCCTCAGCATGGGGACAGAAGCCAATTTCCTATTAATAAGGTCCACAGCAGGTTGTCACCAAAAGGTGTGCTGCTTTTCTCTTCATGCTCTCAGTTGTCTTTCACCTACTTGTTCACTAGCAATGAAGCTCCAGAGCAGGTGGACCGACTTACTGATCTGGCAAAAGTTTGTTCTAGGGAAAATATGGGGGAGGGAGGGGACAGAAGGGAGTAGGTTTCTTCAAAGTTAGCAAGATCATCCTTTCTGCAGTGAGTCAGTTAACTTGAAACCACATCCTAAGACACTGGGTAGTAGCTTCTACATAGTATAATCCCTACAGCTGCTGAAAAGAGCAACACCTTGACCCCATAATCCAGTCCATTTGACCCTGATCTTTAACATCAATTTGCATTATTGTGATAAGGACCTGGTAAACCTCAGATTTGTTTTTAAATGATTAGGTTTTCAGCCACACTAGTCCTCTGATACTCAGGTTTACCATACGGATCCACAAATGTTATCACAGGCATAAGAGACGAAAATGAGAAGGTTCGCATATTTTAGTGACTATGAGTTTCCCTTACATTGAACTGGCCATGTACCCATAGCCTGATAGACAACCAATTCTATCTTTGGAATCAAACTTGCTTTCTATTACTTGATTTTCCCCTTCCTCCCAAACAAAACCAAACTTGAATTACTAACGTGACTACTGGAATACCAGTAGATGAGCCTACCAGTGTTGTGAAATATGACCTGCATACTTTCCCCTTGCGATAAGTTCAAATTCCAGAAATTAACTGACTGCAATAGGTCAAGGCAAGCGTTGGGATTTCAGTTCAATAAGCAAGTCCTTAAGTGTTAGGGTTCTGGTCACAAAGCTGGTGGCAAGGTCTGCAGGTAGTATGATTCCAGGCTCTGTCAATCAAAATAAAATCCATTCCTTCTATTTGAAAAAGCAGGCTGTTTGCAGTGTTAGTTAATAATTTAAAAAGCAAACAAACAAACCCCAAAACAACAGATCCCAGAAGGAAGCCCCATATTCACAATCATATATGGACCACAGCAGAAGGAAACTAAATGGCATGAATGCTATGTCCGAATGAATTTTTTTTGAGAATAAAGACCAAACACATGAACTCACTTATCTAATTCAACTCTAAACTATCATCTTCAGAGCAAGCACTTAGAGTGATTTTTACATTACTGGAATATGTCACTATGACTAGATTCACATATTCAGGATGTCAGACATTTTCTGAGGGATAACTGAATATATTGGAACTCTTCAGTAAAAATTCTCATACCCACAATCTCATTTGTTAACAACATACTTTATGACCTTTCAGTAATAAAACTAGTTGTAGAGGTAAAAAATTATAATAGAGAACCTCAACATTTAGAATCTTAATGTTATTACACGTGACACACATTTTAAAGACAAAATTAAACCTTTGACTTAAAAGCAAGAAAAAATATTCAATTTCAAGCAAAGACCATCTCCAGCCCCCACAAAACAGGTGTTATTTTATTACTTTTATTATAATCAGAAATGCAACATTTTCAAGTTGTAGGCATTTTTATTAAAGCTACTGAAATCAATCCAACAGTTTCACAAGATTTGGGCCGCTGCACAAGTGATAAGCATGCAAGCAGAATCTAAAAAGATAACCATTTAGTATAGGAATAGAGATTTTTTTTTTTTGTCTCAACATGCTAGTTTAAAGCAAGCAGCAATTTATCTAACAAAAACCCAGGTTCTAGAGAAGAGGATGAAATGCAGCAAAGATATGCAACCCCCACTCTACACATTAATACAGTACCTGGGCGCTGAATCTGTGAACATCAGAGGCACTGACTAGATCAATGGAAGACATGGAGGAAGAACGACTATAGGGCTACCAGAGACAAAGAAAAAAACCAAGTAATCAGAACAAAGGCAGACCAGTGCATTCAGTGCCAACTTGCAAGCAGAAGATAATGAAGAAAAGGAAAACAAAAACACCATAAGCAGCAAGCACAGCAGTGAATGCTAATTTCATGCACCTATTATGTATTATGCTCCCAATGTAGCCCTGAGAAGAGCATAGTGTTTCCAGTAACACTAAAAAAAGTCAACTGATCCCAATGCAAGAGACTGGGTTTGTTTTGGTTTTTTTTAATCAATTAAATTAATTTTGGTGAAGTTATCTTAAAGACACTGAGGTTAGCAAGTTAGGATTTTTTTTTCCTTTATCTCAAACAGACAAGCTTGATACAAGCCAAGAGTATCCTAAATAGATACTGAATTCAGTATTTTTTTTTGAGCCGAGACAGAAACCAGTCCTTCTCCAATTCCAGCTACTTCAATTGAAAATGAATAAACCATTGAAAATTATACTAGAAACACACACACAAAAAAAATCAATCTTACCTATCCATAAAAAATATAATATAGAAATATAAGTCAGCCCATTATTCAGAGGAGATCATGAGAAATATCTTACCTTTTGGACAAATCTATGAGTCCCCACAGCAGAATACGCATCTCCAGTAGGTAAGGATGTTGGCCAGTGTAATCTGACCTTTTCACTTTGGGACTGCAACAAAATAGGTTTTAATTATTGGTAGTCAACTGCTACTGGGTGGACTATGAAACAGTGAGGCATCCTCAATCTATATACAGTGGCTACAACAACTAATGCTGTCCATGACAGACATGAAGTTGTCATCCTGCTGGAGTTCTCAGGAAGTGAATGGGCCTTGAGACTGAATTACCCATTCATCTACACTTCAAGATGTATTTCCAGGTTAAGCAAAATAGATTGGCAGCATTAAGGATGTTGCATCCATGTAGTAGTACAACAGTCACTCAGAATTTTTACTTTCTGCTAAGAAACTCCAACATAGATAAACTCTGTTGGGTACTATACGTCCACTAGAAAGTCTTATAATTCTTAACCAAGTCATTGTATTCACTATATTCATAAACCTTTTAAGACAAAGGAGGCACCACTTTGTTATTCCCTCTCATTTTATACACTACTATATATTCTCATATTCTATATATTTTGTCACATGCATCTTATCCCTTTTTGATCCTTGTCACTGAAGTGTATTCAAGAAATGAGTTAGAGAAACAGCCAGAGCCTACACAATTTTTTAATAAAAACAAACACCAACAGAACTATGTCTTGCCTATTTCACATACTGCTACAGTCAAAAGAAACTTCAGAACAACAATTAGGTTTTGAAAAATAGCTGCAGTATTTGATATTCCTATTTGCACAGGGCATCAGTTACATATAAAGATAAGTTTTATATAGGACTAAAACACTTATTTAGGAATTAGAAACCAGAGACATTCAATTAGCTTAACACTTACACTATCCTTTTCTATGCAAGCTGTGAAGTCACTTTTTTCTCAAAATTAGTGTTAAGCAGTGATATTTAACTGTACAAATATTAAGTAGTGAATTCCACTTTTAAGTGTCAGTATAAAATATCTAGAGTTTCAGAAGATGCACCCCAGGACTGAGTAAGTCACAGGAATCTTCCATGAAGTGCCCCCAACATTAACACATTTTTCAAGTATCAATACCTGTTCTTCCATTTTATCCTGTCTATCGAGAGCAGCTTCAACAGCATCAAAGAATTCTTCTTCATTAATCAAACTATTAGGACCCTCCTAGAGCATAAGAAACAAAACTAGTTCAAAATTTTGGAGACATGAGAGCTCCACTTAAGTTTAATATTAGAAACAGATATTTATATATTATACATATAACTGACAGAAGGAAATTTCTTCCATAGACCTCAAATATTTTCACCAATATTCTTAGATTACAGTTAATCTGAAAACCCTATTTGTTAAAGGAAGTTATTTCCTTTAACTACAATTTAGGGGTAGTCCTATAAAAAAGCAAAAGACCAGGAAACTGAAGACAGAGTAACAGTGTCAATATGCTTTGACATCAGATTTAGGTTTTAATTAACATATATCTTCTCTTAAAAATGTTTACAGTGTGTCAGTAAAGTAAACATATTAACATAATTGTGTATATACTCCTTCCAAGTATTCCAGTGCCTCAGGGTGGATTTCAGATATGTGCTCAAAGCACAACAAGACAAGACAAATCCTGGGGATCACTATTGACAATTCTTGGAAAGACCAGTTTAAAAATAAACAGCAGGTAGAGTTAACTATTAAAAACTTGTGTCCACTAAGTAAAGTAAAATGGTAATTTAAGCAAACTAAGTTTACTGCTTTTATTGTATTGTAAAACAAACTGGTCCAGCAAATTTCAAAAATCTACTTTATAACAGGGATATCTGGGAGAAGCAGCTGGGTTCAAAACCAGGTAGACAAAGTCCAACTTCCTATCCAATCTTTTTCTTTTACAGTGCCTCAGTCACAACAGAGAACCTAAGCTCAAGTATCTTTTAAATATCCCAACATATTAGTACTATTTCTCATGCTATAATTTGCAAGTAGAAACCTGCTTGATTAATGTAAATGAAAGGGTCAAGTTCTTAAAAATTACGCAAACTGCATTATAGGTGCATTAGCTTACATTACTCTTCAGAAGGCAGTTTAAAAGTCTTAGAATTTGTCTAAATAACGAAACTGAGGAGGAAGCTGCTAAAACATGCAATTTAACAGACGAAGCAGAACCTAAAATCATTGAATTTATCAACACATTTCAAGTGGCGGTGACAAGTTAAAAATCAATTCAAGTCAAACTTCAAATTCTAGGACTGCCTCTTCAGTCAAGGTTTTCATATTTGCATTACATATCTATACTGCTGACTCATTAAAAAGTAAGAGTACAAAACTTGCATATGAGCAGTATCAAGCGTACAAGAAAAATAATAAAGTCAGCAGAAATATCTGTAAGCAAAATCCTTAGACAAAAGCAGAATAAGGAAACCTGAGGCGAAGACAGACTTCTATTCTCAAAAAATTAAGGATTTAGATTCTTCAGTTTCAGAAAAAGCGGCATGAACATGCTTGCACAGCCAAATACCTTGATTTACACACACACACTCCTTTGAGAAACAAACCAATCTTTTAAAGCCTTAGTATTTTTAAAGATTTCAAAAGCAGAATTTGTACCTCGTAGTCTGGCCCTCCAAAGTGGGACTTTTTCTTCAGTTCTGTCACAGCGTTTTTGTATGCTTCTTCAATTCTTCTCCTTTTCTCTACCTCCTGTAAAATTACACAATCATTTGATGCAGCAAGAATGAATCAGCTGATAATAAATGGAATGACCAGTATAAGGGTTTCTCCCAAGTAACAACTACATATCTGCTGATTTTCTGATTTTATTTGAATGCAGGCATTATATGTGCCCATATACATGCATATATAATACAAAGATTGGGGAGCTAGCTACCTTGAGCACACCTTCTTTAAGTCGTGTAGAAGAAATGAGATCAGCAAGCAAAGTATGGTATCTAGTTTAAGCATAGCTATTCATGGTTTGTTGAGGGTCAGACTTGGTATCTGATAGTTGATATAAACTCCTTGACACAGATGCTTGGGCAGTGATAACAAAGGGTGAAAAGTAAGACTGGTAGAAAGCTAACTTGTTGAATAGGGTGAGATATTAGTGAATCACAGCATGTAACCTTATATCTATAATTAGCTGGCATAGGATCCACATGAATCATTTTGTGAACTCCATGCAGAGACTAACAATTCAACATCATTCTCCCATAATAGGTGCGAGACTGTACTAGAGCAACTGATGATGTCTATGTGTCCTGGTTCCGGCAGGGATGGGGTTAATTTCCCCAGGAGCCGGCAGGGGGCAGGTATTCCATACCACGTGACCCATGCCCAGGCTATAAGAGGAGCTGGGGGACTGAGCTCTTCAAAAGGAGTTGCCACTTGGGGGTCTGTGGCAGTGGCAGTGTGGGTCCTGTCGGTGCGCTTTGCGGCTGTACTGTAATCGCGTTTTCATCTTTCCTTTTGCTGTTCTGTTAAAGTTGCATTGTTTTAACCCACGAGTTTTGCACCGACGATTTCTTTTTCCATGACTGTGGG